CCTTTTGATGAGCTCCTGGATCAAGCTGGAGGCCTGGGGAGATTCCAAATTGTTCAGTTAGTTCTCTTTTGTGTCATCAACATCCTAACATACCCACATATTGTACTGGAGAACTTCACTGCTGCAATTCCTGATCATCGCTGCTGGGTCCAGATTCTGGACAATGACACTGTCTCTGGTAATGTCACCAGAACTCTCAGCCAAGATGCCCTCCTGAGGATCTCCATTCCCCTGGACTCAAACCTAAAACCAGACAAATGCCGTCGCTTCATCCATCCCCAGTGGCAGCTCCTTCACCTGAATGAAACTGTCACCAACACAGCTGAGGCAGACACAGAGCCCTGTGTGGATGGCTGGGTGTATGACAGAAGCTACTTCCCCTCCACCATCATAACTGAGGTAAGGTGCCTCATCCAAATATACTGTTTGTATGATCAAAGAGTTTGGAGGTAGTACCAAGAAGGGACTTGCTTTATACATTTAGTCCTTCTGCAGGTAGCAATTGCTTATCTACTTACTCTATGATGCTGTTGAGAATTACAGTATTGGAGTTAATGAACTGAACAAACAAAACATATACCTATAGTTATCATTTAATCTAGTGAGAAAGATCTTTAATTTTAAAAGTGATTAAATGTTATACTAAGTCGGTGGTTCTCAGTGCTGAAAAACTGACCCTGAGAGCAAATAAATCAGAATCTGTGGGCATAGAATCCAAACACTAGTGTTTTGATGTCCTTTAAGTGATTCAATGTGTGGCCAAGGATGAGAGATATTGTAGTAGTTAAAGTATGGACTGCTAAGAAAAGTCAAAGGCAGGGTCCTTATACCACTTACATGATGAGAAAAAAGTTATAGTTTTAAAATTTTTGGTAACTGTGTTTTTATATGTTTTAATTGTAGTAGCTAAAGAATCTGTATAAGCTAATGGAATAAAGAGAGTTGGTGGCCTGAAGGTAAAAATGAATAAAGTCATGCAGAAAAAAAGGTGCATAATATTGGAAGGCTATGAGGCAAGAGAGAGGCAAGTGCACTTGAAGGGCTAAAATAAGTGGAGAAAGGGCGACCAGGGGAGAGTGACTATAGGTGAAGCTGGAGATTGGGGCAGGATCCACACAAAGCAGAGATCATATGTGGGAGTTTGCACTCTTGTTTTCACTGACTGAAAAGATTTTAAAGGCTCAAAATCTTCTAAAACTCCACTGTGATTTTTTTTTTTATTTTCCTCCAGTGGGACCTGGTTTGTGAATCCCAGTCATTAAAATCAGTGGTTCAAACTCTGTTTATGACTGGGTCACTGTTGGGAAGTCTGATATATAGCCTTCTTTCAGACAGGTGAGTGTCACCTCACTTTCTTTTAGACTGTTGGTCAGATTAAGTATTCAGCACATACTTATTTCTTTATTTAAGAAATCTTGACAAGGTCTCTGTGCTTTGCACTGAACTGTGAACTGGACTCACTTTCTGACTCCAGGAAACTAAGTATTAGCACTTAATGCATACACTGGAAGTTAAAACTTGTGAAAAATTCATTGTTCTGCATTAAGAAGGACAGAAAAGGGTATGTCAATCATACTAGTTTCAGGGAGCAATTTGCAGAGCAAATCCAGAATGTGAGGTGTATGAGTAACAGTTAGTTCAACAAAGGGAAAGAAAGGAGAGTTCAGGGAGAAGGCACTTCCATGATTAAAAGTATGTTCCTGGTCTTGGCAATATTCTGAACCACCTAGACCCTGTAAGATAAATGAGCATAGATATTTTTATACTGGCCATCATTTCACACATGCAGTGTAGGCACACATACAGAGGTAATCATCATTATAAAATCTGAATCTGAGGATTGAGTAGCACTGTGTCCCTGATGGGATGGTAAGTCACTGGACCTGTAACCTGGATGCTGGTCCTTGCGAAATGACTTTAATAGGTAACATTTGTAACCAGAAAAGGTAATTATTAAGAAGTTAGGAGGATGAAACTTGGAGG